AGATAGATAGATAGATAGATAGATAGATAGATAGATAGATAGATAGATAGATAGATAAGATATATATAGTATAGATATAGATTGCGTAGGAATCGCTTATGGTGAACTTACTCCTTCAAAATAATTTTGTATCTTTCATATACATTTTTTTTTCAAGTCAACATTTAGATAAGATCCAATTGTAAGTTTACAACATAAGTTAAATATATTTACAATAATATAATATTAGTTGCACTATATTTTTTGTTGTGTTCAATCCAAATCAGTGATAAAAGTGATTAAAACAGATAGTTAATATTATTTTTAAATGTTTAACTATAATTATTTATTTTTGTTATTACTTTTTTTTAATTATTTTTAAATTATTGGAATGTTACTTACTATGTTATATGAACAGCAATCAAGGAATCTTCATTCTTTTCCTTGACATGTCCTCATGTTCATTTGTTCGTAGGAGAGCTTTACTGTGAAATATTTGCACAAATCAATTTTCACTAAGCATATATTTGAACCCGGAATGCCTAATTATGTTTACATCACTATGTTTTTTCCTACATAACTTCTATTATAGAAGTTAGTTTCAGATTTTTCGTAGCCTATATTTTATACAACATGATTCCCTAAAAATTAAAACTGCTACCTGAAGTCCTGCTCTCCTTCTTTGACGTCCAAGCAGAACGTGTTCTGAGGAAGTTATCGATGCATCTTATCAGGCTGCCATCAGTTGATCACTGATAGAAACGCCGTTGAAAACCAGATTAAACCAGAAAAAATATTTCTCAAAAAACATTAAAGAAAACCGAGAGAGCTTAAGGACAACTGAACTATAAGATATAATTAAGTATGCATGAATTCTAGACCACAACAGAAAGGATTTATTTTAAGCGCATTACTTAATAAAGAAACTCATAAAACATAGTGCGTGACAGCAAACCATAAAACTGAATTTGCGTCTTCAACAAACAATTATGTTTTTTTTTCTCAGGAAATTATCCATCTCACGACAGTTTTTTTTTCAGACGTGCAATCGTTAGCTAGTCTTGTAAAAGAAAAGAATATTGAAATAGCTTTTGCATTTCTGATTTATCAAACTCTTATGGTGATTTTTTAAGACTTCACGTTGTAATAATTAAAATTGATTTTAAAATTTTAAAATTATTACGTTTTAAATTATAAATACTTTGATTGTAATAATTTCTGCAATAAAAAATGCGATCTATAATGGAAAAACTGCATTAAGATATTTTAATTTTCTTTCTGAAACATGCACTTGTTTCTGGTAAAATTTCGTATTTTACCTGACTTACAATTGCCCAGTTCCAGTAGTAAAGCACTGTTTAAATGCCTAATAGCAACAAAAACTACGAGGTTAACCTGGATCCTGCATCCAATTTCAAAGGACTATTTATTCACAAAGTATACAACGTTCAAAGACGAAGGATGTATGGAAAGATAGATACATTAAGTTTCTGGTACATACTAGACATCTCCAATGCGTGTAATCTTGGTCATCCTTGGTTATACGACGTTCAAAGACGAAGGATGTATGGAAAGATAGATACATTAAGTCTCTGGTACATACTAGACATCTCCAATACGTGTAATCTTGGTCATCCTTGGTTATACGACGTTCAAAGACGAAGGATGTATGGAAAGATAGATACATTAAGTCTCTGGTACATACTAGACATCTCCAATGCGTGCATCTTGGTCATCCATAATAGTAAACCAATTCCGTACACACGTTTACTAACTTGTTCATACGTAATAACAGCAGTGGTGCATGCCAGCAGAGTGATTGGAACTTAAGAGTACATAACCGAAGTTCAACGTTTTTGATCCTTGCTCCCATTCCAAATTGTGAAGGGCAGAATTTACGTATTTCAATACAAAAATAAATTCAGTAAGTTTGAAGTGATTCGAATAAACGTAGACTTCCTTAAGCTGATATATGAAGAAAATGTTTATTTTTAAACTAACACATTCTGAAATCGTCTTGAAGTCTGGGTAACCATGAGAGATTTTCGTAGTTTTCTACTCCATGCAACGCAAATGCGAGTAAGTTTCATCGAAATGTCCTCAACGTAGACTAATTTGCTTCTATGCTTGATACAGGAGTTCCTTTGCAATCTGGGTTTGATTCAAAATTACAAGGCTACTGAGTTAAACTTTGTCGTAAATTCAAAATTGGGTCAGCTGTTCAACGCCAGATATAAAAAAAAAATTAAATTATTCGAATAGATTTAACATATATTTGCAACGCAAATGCGAGTAAGTTTCATCGAAATGTCCTCAACGTAGACTAATTTGCTTCTATGCTTGATACAGGAGTTCCTTTGCAATCTGGGTTTGATTCAAAATTGTAAAGCTACTGAGTTAAACTTTGTCGTAGATTCAAAATTGGGTCAGCTGTTCAACGCCAGATATAAAAAAAAAAATTTAAATTATTCGAATAGATTTAACATATATTTATTCACCTCTGAGAGATGCAGCGTTCTTTAATTTTTCAACATAGTCACCACATAAAGTGCACAAAGAAACAAAGAACATCCTTAATAACTTTTGATCCAATGATCGAATTTTCACATTTTGGAATTCACTTTTTTAACTAAGCCTACATATGACAAATTAATTTGTGCAGAAGATTTTAAAAGTTACAATTTCTAGCACAACAATGTACTTTCTCTGAATAAACATAATCATTTTCCACAAAATTTTGATTCTTGACATTTGCAATACAGGAGATAATCGCAATCTGGAAAATATGGTTCTAATAGTTTTTCAGAGGTGCAATTGTAACTTTGAAATCCTCACTGCTAATTTCCCATTTTGTGTGTTCTGCTATCGTAAAGAAGTTGTATTTTAATTTTTTGGGGAATTAATGTAAAACTTTCCTACAAATTTTAGATTTTGGTATTTAATACTATATAAACTGCTGTTTGTAGAAAATGCAACACCATGAAGGAATCATCAGAATCAAATGAAATATTATTTTAATAATGGATATAGGATATTATGCAAATTAATAAAGTTTCAGAGCCATCGCGCGTGCGTGGCGCGCGCAGCGCCCTCTGAATTGATGCTGAAAGCGTATAAATAAAGTGCTGTAGCGGGACGTTGAAAATAGTCTATGATTATTTGTTAGTGGCAAACGTTTAGTGAGACCTGAGTATGCCTCCACGACGGAAGAATAAGAAATTCAAGCAACTTACGGAGTTTGAACGAGGGAGGATAATCGGCCTTCGAGAAGGAGGATTTTCCTATCGCGCAATAGCAGCTCGTATGCAGCGGAACAGTTCCACAGTGATGCGAGTTTGGAAGCAGTGGACCGACGAGCACCGAACAACTCGAAAAACAGGCACTGGACGACAGAAGGTGACGTCAGAGCGCGATGATCGACACCTGCTCCGCATGGCGGTGAATGATCGCACAGCTTCCTCCAGGCAGCTGGCAGCACATTGGTCTACTGCTACAGGTGTACAATTGTCGGCTTCGTCAATTCGTCGTCGTCTGCTGCGCCGTGGATTGCGTGCAAGGGTGCCATTATACAGGATTCCCCTCACGGCGGATCATCGACGGCTGCGTCGGCAGTGGGCTCTTGAGCACAGAGACTGGCGAGCTGATTGGCACCAAGTTGTCTTTTCAGATGAATCACGCTTCAATTTGTGGACCCATGATGGCCGTGTTCGTGTTAGACGTTATGCCGGTCAACGCTGCCTTCCTGAGTGTATTATTGAACGACATAGTGGTCGAACACCCGGAGTTATGGTCTGGGGTGCGATTTCGTATCATGGACGATCCAATTTGATACGAATTGAGGGTAATCTCAATAGCAACAGATACGTCCGTGAAGTGCTACAGCCCGAAGTCGTTCCTTTCCTTCAAGGCATCCCTGGAGCTATCTTTCAGCAGGATAATGCACGCCCACATGTTGCGCGGACTGTTAGAGACTTCTGTTCAGCACAACGCATGCAACTTCTTCCTTGGCCTGCTTATTCGCCGGATATGTCGCCTATTGAGCACGTGTGGGATATGGTTGGTCGGCGTCTCACTCGTGATCCGCGTCCTGCAGTTTCCAAAGACGAACTTTGGTTGCGCATACAAGCGATATGGAATTCTCTTCCTCAAGCAGATATTCAACATCTGTTTGACTCCATGCCACGTCGTATAGCAGCACTTATTGCAGCGCGTGGTGGCTGCACCAAATACTGATTTCGGACGCTTAATTTGTTTCTTTTGTTTTGAAAATTTCATCATTTATTTGTATCAGTACAAGTCGTTTCTGCATTAAATTTCATTTGATTCTGATGATTCTTTCATGGTGTTGCATTTTCTACAAACAGCAGTTTAGATTATAATAATGTAAAATTGTGTATAAATTCAATTTTTTTACTACTTATTAATATAAATATTAAAAAACAATAATTATAAATAATTATTTGTATTTAAAAGTTGTTTTGGATTAACAAATGTTATAATTGTGTGTGAATTTTTTAGGATTCGCTTGTTAATTGAGATTTTGAAGAAAAAAAAGATTGAAATTAAGATTCCGGAGACCAAACTTTCTACAGCTCTAATACTTAAACGACCAGGACCATATTTCCTAGACTTTCTGTCATCAAAGCCTAAATCTAAATCCGTTTAAAAAAAGATACATTTAATCAGAGAAAGTATAAATTCCATAAAATACCTTCAAAACTCATTAAATTGACGAGACTTACATTAAAAGATACAAAGTGTAAGATTAAGTTTCTGGGGTCTCTGTCATAAAATCTTGACATATTTACAGGTGTTCGACAGGGAGATTCTCTCTCCTGTGTTCTTTTAAATATTGCACTTGAGAGATTTTTTTGTGATTTAAACATCAATACCAGTGACATTTTTACTAGATCAGTACAACTACTTGCATATGCTGATGATATTGATGTAATTGCTCGTTCCCTTCCAGCCCTGAAAGAGCCATTTCTTGCCTTAGAGGTGGCTGCAAGACAAATGGGCCTAGTTATAAATGTGGAGAAAACAAAATATTTGTTATTCTAAAGAAACAAAGTCCCAGACCCCTATCTTGAAATAGATTTTTATGGATTTGAAGCAGTAAGGAGTTTTACTTAATTAGAATCAATTATTATTATTGACAACAGAATGACTCCTGAAATGAAAAATCGACTCTATCTGAAAAATAGTCTATGGGCTGAGAAGATTTATTAAATCTAGGTTTCTTTCTAGAAAAACAACGTAACATTTTCTTCGCGCACTGTTTGTTCAAGCAATTTTCATTTTTAAAAAAAATTAATATTTTGTCCTAGAGTCTCAATATCTGTAAAAAAAGAGGAGCTAAATTCGATTCTCACAAAAATATGGTTGTAAAATACTGCGCAGTCCTATTTTAGTTAGTCTGCTCTCGATTGTGTTACTTAGCTTTATTTCTCTTGATCCTTATAATGGCGATAGTTTTGGGACAATCATTTTCCAGACATTATACTAATTTCTTATGCCTTTCTGATATGATGTAGATCTTAAATATTAATATCAAATAAAAGAATAATCATCCGATTTTGCAAAAAGAAAAAAAACCCGTATAAATGCTTAAAATTATGGAGCATTCTTAAAAAAAAATATGTTATCCCAGACTATCTATGGCTATAGCATAGATGGGGGTAAGTTTGATTATGAAGCAAATATAATATCAGGTCAGTTATAAAATGCTACGTAGTCCTACATTTCAAGCGTTATACATTAAATTTGTTACCGCTACATTTCTTGGTGGGTTTTTATAATTTTACTGTTAGGGCAGTTTAGAGAGGATCAGCTCGTGGACACTTTAGTATTTTTTTCATAATATTTTGGTTTAGGATAGATCTTTAATAATAATATTAAGTCATTACATTTTCATAAAGCAAATATAGGGTAAACTAACCAGTGAAGGAACTCTTAAGCTTCGTTTGCCTTTTACAAAATCATATTAATTTCAAAATTCGCAATTTTAGTTAAATGACAGTGTCAACATATTTGTTACTAATTGCAAATTATGTAAAAAAAAATTTAGAGAACTTACATAATATTGTTTTAAAGTTTTGGAGGTTCAAATAGCAAGTAGTAAGAAGACCAAGTGAAGGGACAGCTCTTACCAGTGAATGAGCACCCAGTAAAGGAACACTTAATTTTGGTTATTTTTTAATGCTCTTTATGAATTTATATGCCATACAAATATTTAAAAACAAGCCTATTCTTGAAATTATAACATATAAATACCTGGAAAATGTTTAACTTTTCTTTGCAATCATGAATTGAAAATTGAAGTGTCAACACATACTGTTCCTTCACTGGGAAATCTATGACCAGTAAAGGAACATGCCTGTTCCCTCACTGGTTAGAAGTTTTTCGTATTTTTAACATACTTTTGATGCGGAACATCACTAAAGGTACAAGAAAATTAAAGTTTATCTTTTATTTTCATTAATTTAGAAAAAAGAAAACCAGTAAAGGAACACTTGTTCATTCACTGGTTTTACATCGTTTGGTGATCCAGTGAATAAACAGCCCCTTATCTAAGTGCTTTATTATGCTATGATGATTAAAAATAAATAAATCGTAACTTCAATAACCATAATTTGAATTCTCTTTTTCACAGTGAGAAAAATAAAACTATTACATGCAATTAATTCCACTTCAAACATATAAATACAAACACTCACCTTATAATTTTTCCAAAGAAACAAGGTGTTGCAGAGATAATAAGAAATTCAAAAAATTTTCCAAAGAAGTCTATTTGACCAGGTAATCCAAAACATTGCTGGATGACTTCCTATTGTTTGGCAGTAAGCTATTGTTACCAATCAATCTAAAAAAAACTATCAAATTCTTATTTTTAATCAATATATATGAAATGTTCCTTCACTGGGTAGTGTTCCTTCACTATTTGGTTTATCCTGTATTCTGCTTTAAGTTTTCTATTAGAATCAATACAATATAAGATGAACTAAAAAATTATGTGTTACCCTATATCTTAATTGTTTTACTCTAGATTTTTTTACTACACATTTCCTTGTCGCGTTTGCATAATTACTATTTGTAGCAGTTTTGGAGGGGGTCGTGTTGAGGACATGTTCAGAGGGGATCATGGTGATGTATGTGGTAAATCTTCAATATTAAAATTGTTAGTTAATGTAAATGATGGTTAGAAAATAATTTTTACTTACACAAAAACTATTTGTAAAAGTATCATATTGAAAATCTTCTAATACTTATAAGCATAATATACAAATCAAAAAATTTCAATTTTATTAAAAATGTACAAAGTGTATGTATATGCTAATGAATACAAAAATAATTTCACATCGTTTTGATTCATGACAATGTAATTGTTTAAAATAGATTCGAACATGTTTTCCAAGATGAATAAATGTATAATGTAAAATAATGTGTCAATATTTTTATTAATTTCTAAAATTTATAGCTTTCCGATGAACTTTCTTTGGCTTTTTTCATCGCTTCATTATCTTTAGTTTTTCTGTAAACTGCTTGAAGTTCAACTTTTACCTAAAAGATAAAAAGTAGTTTTTAATTTACAATATTTAACGCTCCATTTTCTTTATTTAATAATAATAAAACTGGGAAATGAAACATACTTTGTATTTTGAGTTTTAATAATATATTTTCGTTCATAACCGCCGTTGAACAGCCGATCCAATTTTTGGTTTACCACTACTAATATTTAAATCCGTATCTTTGTAAGTTTCAACCCAATTAAGAGCACAGGAGAACTTTTGGATCAAGTATTGGGAGACATTTGTCTTTGTGGAGAACTTTTTGATGGAATAAACCGACATTTGCGCTTCATAGAGAGGAAAAACACGAAAATCTCCCACTGTTTGGCTGATGACAAGAGAATTTTAACCCTCGCTGTGACTTGAACCCGGTGCATCTCATTGGAAGGCGAATTCTCTGTCCCTTAAACCACCACGGCTCATTTTGGTTTTATCAAAAAGAATTATAGTTTATTTTTTATTTTTCCGGAAATGTAATTTCCATACAATACAGTAATTTTAAAAGATTTACTCTAACGTAAGATCCGTCTACCACTGAGGATAATTTACATCAGAGCCCTGGTTGGTGAGAGCCGGGTTCGAATTCGTATCGGTGGCATTATCGACTAGGCATCGCCGAGTCAGCTCTCCTCATTGGAAGGATAATTCCTTATCTCCTGAGCCAGAGTGCTCAATATTATGTTTCGTACTATTTAGTTTGGGATTTAGTTTGGGATTTGGTTTAAATCGCTTTGCTTGGTTTTATTAAACTTTCAATATAAGAGTATTTTCTAAGATCTCAGCCGCCAAGAAAATAAAGAAAATAAATAACCAAACTTAATTTGTATTTTAAGATTTTTATTTTAAATCTGTATATTCTATCTTTCTATCTGAAAAATTTAATGAAAAAAATGATAAATATTTTAAGCATTTAATTCCTTGCATTATGATGCTCTTCTGTTCAGATTTGACTTTAAAATTTTTGTATATCAATGTTTAGTAACTATAGTATTTTATACATAGTAATATATACAAGGTCCGGCTATTAATTTCCAGGACTGAGGTAACTGTAGGAGAAAGAAAAGCCGGAATATGGCGCTAATGATTGCATATTGAAGAGTGTTTTCTTGCGCATGTGCAGTGCAATCGGCGCCATTCTGAAGTGAGTGGTTCTCGTGGAAAGGCGCATTAAAACGGAGCTCTTAAATTCCTGTTGTCGAAGTGAAATGGAGCAAAGAATTAACATTAAATTTTGCTTCAAATTGGGCAAGACAGCTGCAGAAACCTACGAATTGTTAAAACAAGTTTATGGCAAGGAAGCATTATCTCGCTCAAGAACTTTTGAATGGTTTAAACGCTTTTGAGCGCGAAAGCGTGGAAGATGATCCGCACACAGTTCGGCCGCAGTTCGCACGCAAGCCGGAAGCAATTGAAAAAGTTCGCGTACACACATTACGTTTGACTGTGAGGCGATTCTTAGCTCAGTATGGTGTCGTTGAGTCGCAGTATCCACCATACTCGCCAGACCTAGCACACACTTTTTCCTGTTTCTTAAGCAGAAAAATTCACTGAAGGAAACAAGATTTCATGATGTCGAAGCCTTCACGAAAACTGTAACGTCACTAATAAAGAGCATTCCAAAAGTGGACTTTAAAACTTCTTTCCGAAATTTGTACAGCCGAGCACAGACGTGTATTACGGCTGATGGGGATTACTTCGAATAATATTAAATGTGTTTAACTTTTTTTTCTTCTGAGTTATTCCATGAGTCCTGGAAATTAATAGCCAGACCTTGTATTATGTTGCATTATGAAACAAAAAGTGCATGTAGTCACATTTTGTACTGATTTTTTCATTGTTATAGTTTTATTTATTTATTTATTTATGCATTTTTTCTCACTTTGTTTACTGATTATAATATTTTCATGAGCAATAAAATAAATTTATGGTTCTATTGCGAAATCATTTTGCTTAAAAAACAAGCACATTTTTAGTAATAAATGTTTCAAGCAATTGTTTCGTCAATTTTATGAAATTTTTTACGCTATAACTACAGTTCTATACTCTTAAGAATGTACTTCGTTTACCTCAACACCAAAGATGGTGGCAACTACGCACAAACACATTTTACTGAGTAATAATAAGGTTCAAAAACTTACAAAATTTTAGCGATCCTTAAAGTTAAATTTGAAAGAAAAATTTATTTTCTTATGTTAAACAATTTAAGAAAATCTTTGGAATATATAAAATAATCAGGAAACGGTTTACTAAGCGACTTTCTCAACTGTAAATTTTAATAATTAGGATATACAGTGTATGCAGTGTGGATGTAATTACTTTTATTTTGTTGCGACTAATATAGTGACTGCTCTGGATGAATATAGAGATGAAACTTAATAGAACAAAATACCGAGTAAGAAAAGTTTTATCGCAAATTATCTTTTCTCTTTATTACTAATTTAAATTTTCAAGCGTAGAAAAAGTAATCGAGACAAACCTAGAGTAAGCCATGAAGTTTCAAATACTGAAAAAAAAAATTTAAATACATGAATGAACATTAATTACGAGATAATTACTTAGGATAACGCAACTTAGTTATTTTCTAATAATTTGTTTGCGTTTATATATTTTGAAGTACTTTTTTCAGCAAATCGAAATTTCATGACTTACTTAAGGATTGCGAGAAGTTACTTTTTCTTTCTTTTAAATTTTAAATTAGTAATTAAGGAAAAAGAGAATTTGCGACGAAAATTTCCTTCCGCGATATGGCGTCCTCTTAATGTATGCGTTATAACGAAAGAGAAATTTACAATAAAATTAGTTCATTTATTATCCGATAGATGTCACTTTTCTTAATCTTCCAAGTCTGAAGAAGAAAAAAAGGAATTGAAGATAAGGTACTCAAACTGAACAATTCGAGCATTGAAACAGCTTTCAAATTAAACTTAATTGGAAGTAAGCATATTACGTCACATCGATGGAATATTTCGAGATACCCTTTATGATGTGATTGTACTCTCTGTTTCTCGTTATGAACATGTACGTCCTAAGCGACCAAGTCAAATTTATTTTGCATATTTTTCCAATTTCAAATACTTTAAATAACTTCATTTTATGAAAAATTCATTTTGTAATAAATCTAGAAGATATCTTTGATTTTTTAAATCACCTTGTACTTTTTAATTGTTTTGTATTGCCCAAGAGAAATGTCCGGTCTGTTGAGATTAGATGTTTGTTATCAAAGGCAATCATTTTAAATATTACTCAGTAGATGGCACTACCAGATTTTTAATGTTGTTTTATCTTGGCTATCAAGGATAACAAGGAATCTTTGTTTTCTAAGGGTTTTATAATTCAGTATCTTGGAAAAATCATATTAAAAAACTATCTTGAGATGAAAGATTACTCATGAAGTTCTTATGATTTTCAAAAGATCTTTTCTTTCATGTTGTCCGATTTGTTAAATACTATTTTAGTCTGTAAAACATAGTTGAACTATGTTGTAACGTAAAATTGCACCGTTCGAGACCTGTTATTGTATTTATTTATTTTTTATTAATTATTTCATTTATTTATTTTGTTTAATAATGACTTATAAGATCCTCACTAGTCTGAACTTCAATTTCTATGCTATAACTATAATAATTGATGAGAAACGCATCTGCAGGAATCAAACAATGAGCAATTTTAGTTTTAAAATGATTTCAATTTTAAAAATGCCTGAAATTTGCTAGTCACCCTTTTCTAAAATCCAATGAACGTAGAAAATGTGTTATGTTTGAATAAAATTTTGCGTCTACAGTTACTTTATGATTCTTAATGCTTGCAATTTTGTGATCAAAATTTAAAATGATTTTCTAACTATTATTACAGATTTACTAAGCAGAGTAAAAGTAATTATAATCAATCAGTATTCTCTATGTATCCTGTTTTTAAATCAGAATATTTGAGTATCTTCAAAATTGGCATAACATGTTTATCTATTAATAACAAAATGAATATGAAGAAATAACTAACAAGACATACCGGAAATTTTACTTCTTTTTTCTCTAAAACATCTGGGGATTTGTGAATGAACCACTTTACTGCAGGACTGAGCAAATCAGGTGATACATATTTTGTTTTACCTAAACAGGAAAAAATCTTATTAAGCTTTTAAAATTAAAATTTAGTCAAATATACTGTTAAAAATAATGCTTGTTTTGTAATACCATTTAAATTTCACGCAATGTCAATATGGTGGTGGTGCTAAGTTGGACCATATTATACTTCTTAAACTTAAATACTCGATACAAAAGTCAAATTAAATGGAAATGTGGTACAATTTAACACCTTACTAACTTTGCTGCAAATATTTATTTTATAATTTAATTAAGTGCCGATATTATGGCTCAACGTAAAACCAATTGAATTTATATTTATTACAACCACTGCCCACCAAAAAACTTTCCATGATATCATTTCTAAATGGCCTTTTTTAAAACTGTATTGAGAGAAATATATGAGATCAAAAAGTTTATTTCGCCTTATTAAAAGAGATATAAAAAGAAGAAAGAAAAGATTAAAAAAGAGAGAGAAGTTAAAAATATAGAGAAAACAAAGAAAAAGATAAAAAGATTTTTAAAGGAAAAAAAATATTCAAATTTCTTAAAATTGTTCAATAAAAAATAAATTGGAAAGTAAAATAAATCAAGGAAATGATATAATCTCGTCATTAGCTCACACGAAATAGTATGAGAAGCACCAAAAAGTTTAAAAGAACATAAAATTTATTAAGATAAAAAAGTAGAATATAGATTGCAAAATGAAACAATCAAGCAAAAATAGAAGATAAAAATTCAAGAAAATACTGAATGAAACTCAAAATGTAATATTCAAAACAAGTAGTGAATTCAAGCGCTTTGGCTGCATTAATACAATATAAGAAAGCACTATTTTTTTTTAAAATAATCGTGAGAGCTGATGATGAGATTATATCTTATCCTTATTTTATTTTTCAACTTTTTTGTAAATTTAATACTTTTGAAATTTGAGAATATTTTTAAATTCTTTTTTTAATAATTTTTTCTACTTATTTAAAAATCTTTATATTTTACTTGTTATCTCTTAATTGTTTACTCATTTTATGAGTTCTGTGTACTTGCAGCTTATGTGCTGTAAATAAAACTTATTATTGTTAATAAAGTTATTATTCATTTTTTTAGGTTATCTTAAGTAATAATTTTTTAAAAAAAAACTTAAATTAGATCACTTACTTAAAAAAGACCAGTTTTGGAATTATTTTTAATGTTATAACTAATCCAGCATTTCATTTTGTGATTTTTTTTAAATCACCCATACTGTCGTTTCTTATACAAAAATAAAAATTACAAACTGAACAATTTATTCGTCATATTATTTAAAAACTAATATATTATTACCTGTTTTCATGTTTATAAGAATGCTTGTGACGTATCCAATGACAAATGAAAAGATGAAACCAATGGGAGCGAACCACATATAGGAAATTCTATACAATGGGAATATATCTCTAAAAGCAGAAAAAACATAAATAAACAATTCATTTCCTTTTAATAGCCGTGTAAGTTAGATTTAAGGAAAAAGTAGTCCATAAAAACAAATATACTTTACATTTACGTATTTATACTTATTTACACCCGTATGTCGTGTTGTGAGATACATTATATACCTGAGTTTAACAGGTGATTTGAAAAATCAATCAAATAGAAAGAGATCAAGATGTACGGTTTGATGTATTTTGCTTAGTAAGAAATGTTAATATTCCCATAAAATTTTAAAGAAGAAAACAATGAAAATAATGAAAAATATAATTAAAACCAATCAAATATTAAAAATGAAAATAATGAAAAATTTTGAAAAATATAATGAAAAAAATACTAAGAATTTCTGATTTTCTAAGCAAAATATGGCATTCCTACCTTTCTATTTCATTCGGTTTTTTATTCGATAATTTTTAAAATCGGCGGTAATTTTTGGAACACTTGGTATAAACATTTTTAATTGTTGTATTGTTCAAAGCTTGGTTCAATTATCATAACAAACAATATTAAATTTAAAAAGTTCGACTAATTTATACAATGAATATTTAAAACAATAAAAATGGAATATTATGAAATAACAACTCTTATTTTTTGAAAAGTGTGCGAAAAGATCCGTCGTTTTAGTACTTTGCAAGAGCGATACTACTGTAAGAGGTTAAAGAATGTTCGTAACCTCTTAAAGTTTCCATGTAACCTCTTAAAGTCAACAATGTAATGTTTGTAACCTCTTAAAGTCAATGATTAGGCAATGCGCAACTATACCATATAACACCATAATGGCTCCAAACCATAAAATAAAGTTTGTTCTAAACAATAAAAAGGTAGTTATATACAAGATAAATGACAGAGGTCAGAGACACCTTTCAAAAGCAAAAGATAAAACTCCTTTTTTTTNTTTTTTTTTTTTTTTTTTTTTTTTTTTTTTTTTTTTTTTTTTTTTTTTTTTTTGATGAGTGTTAGGAAGGTGAGCTCCTTTCCAACCTCTTTACTTTCTTCCGGTACATAATTATTTTCTTTCCCTTAAACTTCAATATTTTCAACAAAAACACCTAACATATTGTTTTCCAACTATGCGATTATTGGAGTTGCAGGTAAGAAAATTGTATTAGTATGTTAATCGTAACGAATGAGAAATAATCTTACTCTACAAATAATTAGTTTCAAAATTATTTTTTAAATAATAACATCTTTATATGAATAAAAATTTAACCTAAGAATTTCAAATTGTGAGACTAAATTAGAAGAGATAAATTAAAAGTAATTTCAATGTTGAAGAGACTTACAACCATTTAAATTTGAAGCGTTTTTTTTATCGCTATTTTATTATGTTTTTATATTATGTTTTCATTTTATGTTTTTATTTTATGTTTTTATTTTATTTATTTATTGCTACTTTTGTTTATCATATAGTTTAGCGCAAAATTATAAAATAAAGAAATAAAGATATCGTGAAAAATAATTTTTTCTTAACAATGGATAAATCATCAATATGTAAAGCAAAAATCTTAAAAAAATCGTGATAAAACACTTAAATTTTTCATTAAATTTAAAACAGTAATTTTGATACAAAATTCACAAAAAACGGATCTTTCAGCCGGTGAAATTTAAGTTCCGTATTAACATTTCAGCAGAATACAGATCAACCGAACAGAGGTCAAATTTAAGTTCCTTATTTGTATTTCAGAGGGATACAGATCAACCAAACAAAGTATTTTTCCTCTTGTACATTTTTCTATATACCTTCGCAGTCTTAAGTTTCTAAGTATTTTAGATTTTGAGTTGCAAAGTAAAATATAACACGAAACAAAACAAGAAAAGTGAGAAAAAATTCCGACAAAATAACGCTTATAATTGTAATAACTGACGAGCAACAATATTGAAAATAAAAATAAACTTTGTGTTAAGTCCATTAACAAATATGACACTTTCAACTTACTAAATTTCTACAATGTAGTTGCAGTTGGGCGTTCTATAAAGCGGTCTGAATAGTAATCTTTTTCTTACTAGTTTAATAGTTAATAAATCTCGAATTTTCAAGAATTATTTAATATCGAGGGAAGTAATTGGGTTAGCATTCTCGCATATCACTAAAGACAGTTATGAATAAGGTAAAATGGAATAAAAATGCTTACTCATCTGAAGACTGTACAAGTTTCGGTTCAACCGGGATCTCGTACTTGTCAATGTCTTTTGCACTAGACAGAACTGTATCATTCAACAGGAAAAGTTGATCAGCAATCGATATGTTAAGAACAGGACATTTAGCCACAGAAACCGGAAGAATTTTTGGCTGAGGCCCATGGTAAGATGTGCTGAAGCTAATCCAAGAAGCCACTGCAATTGAAACTAAAAGTCCCACTACAGCACCCTATATTGTTATAAAAGAATATTTATGAAAATAAAGTTACATTTTGTGTCGTAAAATTTTATGATTAATTTAATATACTATAACATAATGTAGTGAGGTGATTTTTTCTATGTTTTAAAATAATTAACGCTGGAAACAAAAATGTTTCATTCAAATTCATGTTTTACGGTATATGCTTTAACATTATCTTTGTAAGTTTAATGTTTGATTCAGCACAATATATCAAAAACATTTAATGTAATTTTTTTTTTTTAAAAAAAAGCAGTGGTTAATTTAATTCAAATCATATCACTGGTTCAAAATTAAAACGACACTTCGGAGCTCACTTCTCATTCAAATAACATGAGAAGTGAGTGCAGAAGTGTCGTTTTAGTTTTGAACCAGCAATATAATAGCTTCTATTAGGGACAGTCAGATAACGTATACAGCAAGTACAAGTCTCAACAAACAATAAAATCTTAGCCAATATTACTATAAATTTCTCTACTACACTCGATTACTTTATATAAACTTCCCACATTATACAAAACGTGGAAAATTCGATGAAAAATGTAGATGATCTCTTAAAATAAATTTTTTAATATGACATTTTTATTACATTTTTGTTGTTTAAAGGTATTCCTTTTTTTTGTTTGGGACCTCTATCTTTAATATAAAAAGCTATGACAGCCCCTAGAACTTTGACGCTTATATATATATANTGAAAACCATATATATATAATTAGCATTTTGATATTTTTCCCTTTGCTAACTCGTGAGAAAGCTGAATTTCCCTAGCCCTATTTTACGGATTTACTTTGCAAGATTTTCCCTACTTTTACTGAGGAGTACAACGATTTTGTGTCACTTGGATAATTGACCTCTCTCAAATAATTATTAAGTAAATATTGTGCCCTCTCTCCCAGCCTAAGACATGTTTTCATCCTTCCTTTCGGCAACGACTTTATATGCATATACTATATACATATGAAATTTAGAAAGAATCACAATATATATAAGCTAAACTAAACTCAGTGGCGCAACAGCCCATAGAGGGCCAAGGCTTGCTGTGCAAGTTTTCATAATTAAACATGTGAACTATACAAATACAGGTTTATTCAAAAAGATGGCTATGATTTAATTAATTCTAAATAAAATATAAATTAAAATATAAAAGGAATATAAACGGTCTATATAACGGTAAGTTTTATTTAAAACCCCTTGTGTTAGGATAGTTGTATGAAGGGTGTCTGGGGTAGTAGTTGTGTAAGTGTTGTAGTTGTTTTGTATGTGAAGCAATCAGGGCTAACCACTTAGTTGAAAAACGTGGAAACTTTTGCTCCTTCATTTTTATGAGATTGTTAATGTTCAATTTTTAACTCATAAAATGCGGTTTTGGATACCCCTGTATAATGTTCCTGCTTACCTTTTCATTAGCTCTTGTCGTCAGCATTCCGAGCAAAAATGTTCCTAAGACTGGACCACCAAGTATTGCAAAAACAATGAATGAAGCTTGAATAATGCTGCCAAATGTAGCTACTAAAAATGTTAAGGCAATACAAAGGACACCAAAGAACATAGCTGTAAATAATAATTTGTTCTAAACTTGATACTAACGTAAATGAAACATAAATTAATAAGTGTAATTGTCAGGAATAATGACTTCAATTTAATCCCTAGACGTAAAATTTTTATTAACATATTCTTCATACTTTTTTCATTATTTTGTATTAAATTAGGTTAAAATAAATGAAAAATATTGTATGTAATAATAAAACAATAATTATATTTAATAATTTATGTTTTTGGTATACGGCATGAAACACCGGTGTCTTTTAAACCACTCACTTTCAAGCAATATTTTCTTTTAAATTTCCACTTATTTGCGGTTGTCTAGATCTATCAGAAACGGTTATTCAATACAGAAATTTCCTTATTTACAAAATAAATTATAAATAAATTCTTCAATATGAATGGAAAAAAAATATCAGAATACATTTTTTGGATTTTATATTTTAGTATAAATATAATTACGATAATCTAGCAGATTTTTTTAGTAACTATTTAACTCAATTACATATAAAAATACCAAAACATATTTTCGCGTGCAATTAGAGCGCCAGAAAAATATTTATGAAGGGACACTGGCGTCCCATCTGCAAAGGGTCAAGCATGAAAAAAATATATTATTTGTTCCATTATTCAAAAATGGTTAAATCTGAAAACAAAGTAAATATATTTTCCAATTGTCTATTCTTAAATTTTGTTCTCGTTTTTCAAGAATACTAACATAAAATGTTTATAAAATAATACTTCAGTTCGAAAGCAATTCAGAAAATAGTTTATGTTTCGAGATAAATAAAAAATTTTGCTTAAAAAATCTTATCCCTGCTCAAAACATTCAAAGGATATTTTCCAGTATGACTTAGCACCACCATTTTACGATGGAAGTAACGTTCTGAATTAAACCAGTATTATATTTTATTTTAAATGGAACATGATGAAAATAAAACATTTTAATTTTTTTCACTTTCTTATAATTCTATTTTTAACTGAAGAATTTGTTTAGCACAAAAAAATTTTTCACCAACTTATCACTTGTGCAGCAAAAGACAATTTGTCCTGTGAAAATCCTTTTGCTTCAAGAAAAGGTCGTACTAAATCTTGCATTGTCACTGCAGTCAAAGAATTCACTGCAGAGGAAACAGTGCTGAGAGAAGCACTGAAAATTCCACAGATGCAAATACCTGGCAACCCAGGAAAATGTCCTAAGCTCTTTATCATGAAATATGGCAGCAACTAGAGAGAAAAACATTCCAAAATAAATACATGATTTTTTTTTATTTTAATTATAATATTTAAAAATATTTTACATCTAGTACTCTGAACGCATAGCACGTTCAGCAATAATCCTCCATAAAATATGTTTTTATGGCTTAAAAATTTTATCATGATACCTTAGAGCATGGCATGAAAACCATTTATTCGCTTAAATTTACATTTCAGTTCTGTATATTTTATTAAATGTGAGGTAATAAGAATTATGATTTTGAAAATAAGAATTTCTGATAAACCGTTGTCATATGAATGAAAACAACTACCAAATTATTAGTTTTTCTTTACCAGAATAATGTTTTTTTAACCATAAATGCTATTACCATACTGTACGGTAATTTTACCAGAATTTTTTTTCCTTGTAAGACATAAAGAATTTTGTCAATAATAACTGCTGCTCTATGATATCAACTTGGCAGTTTAGATCATGTACAGAAACAAAGGTAGGTAGAATTGATTTATTTAGAGTATGGTTACCAATTATTCGAGAAAAATGTTTATTTAACCACTCGATTTAAATATAAAAACTTATGTTACTCAATATTCATTAGTGGTTGTATCTTCATTTGAATTTGCACGTGCGAAATTAAAATAATGTACTAAAATCAAACTGACAAATCTTACTTATGCGAATTATAGTATTATAAATTTTATACTTTAATTTAACATAAAGTCTTAAAATTCTTGAAAAATTCTTACTTGATCGCCTTTGTGTATAGGGTTGTTTGGCGGGGTTAAAGGATCACATTCTGCAAAATATGAATAGACAATGACGCCAGACAAACAAGCCAGTAAATGAAATGAGCAACCCAGTGGAATACTGTACCACAATGCCCTGTGGAAGAAATATTCTCAATTTAATAGAACTTACGATAATTTGAGATTCACGAATAAGATTCATTACTCCTGAAATTTACTTTTATTCTTTAAAAATGCTTCGAATTCAATTCATTACTTTTTCTGAAACCACTTATTTCAAAAATTTGGTAGCAACTATAAGCAAGTTTTGAATACTGATATAAATCTTTAGTTCATATAGGAAATTTTATTTTTAACCCTAGCGAATTGAAATCTTAAATGCTTATAAATTTATGTCTTAAGATATGTATATAGTATTTAGGTATAATTTAGGTATGATTCATTAAGGTAAAGTAAGGTATCATTTATTAAGTTATGTCATTACTATATCAAACTTCATTCACTTAAAAAAAATACTAATCGGAAACAACAGTCAACATGTTTCAAGCTCTCAAAAACAGGATCCCGTTTTCACGGCCATACTTAAAAGAAATGATGACTCATTCAGCCGGGCCAGTCTTATAAATTGGCACCTGTTTTAAAGTACTAGAAATAAGTCGACTGTTAATTCCAATTTGTATATTTTTGACGCGAATGAAGTATTTAATCAAGTAATACGTTTACTATTTATCTATTTTTATTCTATCTAAATGATAATTTATTTCTTCGCAATATATCTATAAGATACACCTAAAATTCTTAACTTATTCCAAATGCTTGATTTCTTTTTTGACCTATAAGGCAAACCATTTTCAAAACAATTTCACATTAATACTTCTTAGATGGTGCGAAATACATAACTTATAAATTGTTGCAAAAAAATTAAGCTTTTTGGTCTTAAAATATCTTCTTTCATGTTAAAAATAAAAATCGATCTTTTAGCTAGTATGCTTTATATATCCTTTGTATATTTTCACCACACATTTAAAAATATTATTTTTCAGGGAAATGTGATAAATTATTTTTCTAAATATATAGAAAAGAGAAACTTACTTCCGAGATATGTCAATGTTTTTGACAGTAAGCAATCTTTGGATTTGTACTTGATTTGCACTGAAGGCTGTCATAGACAATATTATTCCCTGAATCAACATATTCCAAACGGTATAGCGAGTGTAGAAACTTGCTTCAAACCTATATGAAATCAGATTTTATTTAAATCAAGATTAAATATTTATATTTAAAACATATTAAAAGTTCACTGAGAAGAAAAATATGGTCAGTAACTGTTAAAGTATTGCAAATTTTGACGTGTTTTTGCCTTTAAAAACACCAAAAATCTCGGTAGTTTTTATCAATGTCCTTTGGTAATGATTTTGGTAAAAATTATCAATAAAATAAGATTTTATAATCTGTGATAAAATTGGGAAATTGTATTATAATTTGATAATTTTATCACGACACCTTACATAAAGGCATAAAAACCATTTATTCGTTTAAATTTAGTTTTCAGTTTCGTATTTTTTACTAAATGTGTGATATTATAAACTTTAATTTTGAAAACCAGAATTTTTGGTAAACCGTTACTGTTCAAACGAAAAAATTACCAAATGATTGTTTTAAATACTGTATATTTTGTTTTTATTAACCCTTATTATGTTTTTTTTTTAAAATAAATGTTGTTACTATACAGTACCATGGATTTACCTGAATTTTTTCTTTCGTGATCTATTAAAAAGTAATAATGAAAATATCATTATGATTTTATTGCAATTCGCCGAAAGCTGCCAAGTTCAGAAGATGAAATAACCTTCCACAAAATTTTTAAATTTCTACAAAAATTATTATAATATGTCAGATTGCTTAAAACGAAGCTATAGGAAAAAACATAATTTGGCTTCAAAATTGCAAAATGTAGTGCTATGTATGTCATTTTAAATAGAAGTATTTCAAGGCATTCAACAGATTCTCAGAATACTGCGCATAATCAATGCTCATGAAAGTGGTCGCAAATCATTATGTAAATACAACAATAATAAACATTGCATCAATTCATTGTCATTTGAATCTGGAATTGATTTCATATGAAGTCCGAGAGAAATAACATTAATTTTTATCCTTCGCATCTTTGTAGCATTTTTTAATAAAATGTGGTAAATAAATAGATTAAAATTGTTAATAAGCATACATATCAATCTCCTATACTTCTAGTAGGAAGTTCTTTTGCATTAATCACTTTTACTATATATGTTTAGAGTCATTGTCAAAGTTTAGTTAAAAAAAATTAGATTAGGGAATATAATATACACTTAAGCATAAAAAGATAAAAAATAAAAAATGCTATCGAAATCTAATGTATTTCTTAAAAGGGAGCCAGTACAGATCAATAAAACTTGTTTGATTGCTGTGAAAAGCAGAGAGGAGTCAAAAGGTTATTATTAAAAATACATTCATTCCGGCAATGAAACTGATTTTTATATTTCCAGTTCCTCCTTTCTCACCAATAATTCTTTAAATTTTGATAGTCTATTTCTTCCTAGTTGAATTATTAATTTTTGACCTCTAATATACATAAACCAGTCAATTAAGTGTTTCTAATTTACCAAAATAAGTTTTTCAGCAAATTCTTCAAAATCTTTTGACCGGTTAAATTTAGTGATAAAATTATTCTATTAATGGAAAGAACAAATTTCACCATAATAGAAGATGAAATGAAATAAAAAAAGAAGTTAATGGACAGACCTTGTATTAAAGTACCAAGAGAGAAATTGACTTACATTTCGCTTTCCCAGTCTCCTGATGGCAAGAAAAAGAGAGGAAGAACAAATTGACTAAGCAAGGATAAATGCAAAGAGGAGAGGGTTTTGGGATATGATTTAACGAAAAAGCCCTCAAAATTGTTGGTATTGACCCGAAGTGTCAATATAGCATAATTAGGTGTCGATTTGATAAATCTCTATTCGAAAGAGAGTCAATTAGATATTGATGAAAGAATACAAATAAGTTTTATCTCAAATTATCTCTAAAAATTAAGGGATAATTTTAAATTACGCTTCGAAGATATTGAAAATATGGTTATCCCACTTTCCACTCAAGTTGAAAATGTCATCTGCCATTTTCAAAATGAAGTCATTAAAATATTAATAAAGCAAAGATGGATTTTAATATTTTAACTGTAAGTAAATTTTGAACTAATATAAATAGTACACAAAATTATCCAGAAAAATGGAATGCGGCACTTCGCATTTTAAGAGCATTCCCAAGTTCAGATATGGTTGAATCTTGCTAATTCTATTTTAACAAAGCAAAGAAATAATTTGAACGTGGAGCTCCATGGTGATTTAAGTTTAATACTAACAAATTTCGAATCAAACATTGCTCATCTAGCCTTATCGTTATCAAACACATCCTTTTCATTGATTCATGCAGAAATTTGTTCTTGTCAAAACAAAAAAAAGTCATTTAAAAAACTAAGTATTTTTTTTCTTTTATAAAATATTTTTTAATAAAAAGGGTTGATAAGAAAATTACAAAGTCTCTTAGGGGGAGGGTAGGTGATGATCATGAAATTTGGCAGCCTTCCATTTAACGGATAAAAGGAATCTAAATCCTTTGTCAGAGATTGGAGAACATGTAGTTCTAGGCTGGATACCTTATGGGTCGAACCACTCGAAATAAGCAAATTAGCATAACGAAATTCACTTTATGCTACCTCTTTTTTATATAAGGGATTCAAAAAGTACATACCAATGGGGGCCATTATGGGACACGCTTATATCCACTCTTAGATTTAACAATTCAGTGATCACTTACAATTATTTTGGTCTTCATATGTTCCTTTTAGATAAGGATTATGAACCGATATCTAAAAAGAAGTGCTTTGAAAACTGAAAAACAGCTTTAAATAATAAATAAAGTAAGTACTACGCTAATATAATAAGATAAGATGAAGTTTTAATAAATATTTCTATAATTAAGTTTGTGTGAAACTGTCATCATTAATTACTTGCCCAGGAATTAAAATTCTTCCGCCTTCATTCGCGATCTTGAATACATCATAAAAGCCAACATCTAAAAACCCTTTTGTTATAACAGCAGAAATTCCGAGAAACATGAGCAATGATTGAAATACGTCCGTCCATAGGACAGCTTTCATTCCTCCCTATAATATATAAAACCCTTATTATTATAATGAATCATGTCACAAGGTATCTTACAGTATAATTGTAATATATATATATATATAATCTATCTTCAAATATCTAGCCTTTAAAGGCTAGATATTTGAAGAGAATTAGGCGAATACAATTAAAAAGGCATTTTATTACTTATATGGAGTATGGAAAACAGTGTTCATGGAATCTTTACAATTATGGTTTCCCCGTTTCAGGGATTGTTTGGAATTGGCCTAGATTTCTCTAGCCATGGAAAATATGGAAAAGACACGCATTTTTGCCTCTCCCGAGCTTTTAAAGAGAGGTCCTGTAAAGGGGAGGGCGTTGCAAGCATCTTCTTATTCAATGAAACGTCATTCAATTGATAAACTTTAGAGATTTTGATTCGTTAAAAGGATATCGCCACTCTGACGGTGGGAAGTTTTTGGGGTATTTTAATGTCTACTTCATTTACGAATTATTAGACCATTAGCTTCAGAAAATAATCTTTTATCCGGCCGTATCTGGTTCATCTTGACTTTTTATGGCTCTTTGTGAGAGACCGGCTTCCATATCTTAACTNATGTCTGTAATTTTCCTTAGTTTTATCTTCATTTTGAACTTCATTTGATGTATATATATATATATATATATATATGTAGTATGTATGTAACATAAAAAGCTTAAATTAATCTTTTTATGTTATTCCCTCTCTGTGAATATATATGTATATGTATATATACATATATATATAAGTGAATACAGAATCCAAAATATTTATGATATAATAAATTTAAATATTTGCACTGCCAATGACATTAATTATGTGTTTAAAATTGAATTTGCTACTTTTCTCCTCAAGAATATGTAAGGCGATTTCATAACTATTAGTAGATAGAAAAATATATAATGCAGCCAAAAATTTGACACAAATCCTACTTATATTAGTCCAATACATATTAAATCCATCCCAAAATTAAATCTGGCACAATCACAAAAATATGATGTGTTCATTTTTTTTTAAATATTTTACACCTCAAACTCTATTACCCCTTTTTTCTGTTTGTATTATCATCAAAGAATTGAGTATCAAAAAATGAAATATTAAAGAAAAATATTTTTAAATCTAAATAACTACTTACAATGGTGCAGTAAAATGTGCATACCACTCCAACTGAAACTATAGCAACCCATGTTGACAAATTGGTTACAGCGCTCAATGCTAAAGCGGGAGCATACAAAACAACTGACATATAAAGTATCTAAAAAAGAAGAGTTGAATAGAAAAACTTATAGATTCTTTAGCCTAATATACTTGCTGTAATTTTATGCTTACCATTTGTAAAACAAAAGCTAACGAGGCGATTGTCCTGGCAGTTTGTCCGAACCTTCTTTCAAGATACTAAAAAAACATCCATGTTTTATTATAATTATGTGCATCATGATATTGCAATTCATACTGTACAAACCTCTTTTAAAGATACAAAAAACATCTTTGAATTATTATATTATATGAATTACGATATTCATATTGTCCGAACATCTTTCCAAAATACTGAAAAAAATCTATGTATTATTATAATTATATGAATTATGATATCATAGTTTCACTCATTAAATGTGATAGACGATTTGGATCACGTTAGGCATAATTTTATAAAGTCTTTAAATAATTTAAAAATTAAAAATTAGTTATTCAAGTATAAAAAACTGTCATTTTTAAATCACATATTTTAAACGACTTAACTGTGTTTTGAAGTGGAATATTGGTACAAAAGGTTATAAAATTAAGAATTGTTTAACACATCTTAAATATTAAGTTATTAAATCGGCCACAATTCATTAAATTATTTTTTAATTTTATTGCTTTATTTCACTGACAATTTAAAATTGATCTTTATATTTTATGAAAATATCATAAAACGCAAAAATAAGTAAATAAGCAAGTCAACGACATAAGCATTTTCTATTTTTATATTACGTTCAAAAATATGCCTTATTTTCATAACAAGTTTATGAAAATCAAATAAATACAATTCTTTTTAACACGATACAAAATAGTACAAAATTACAAAAATAATATAATTTTAAAAGATAAAATTAGGGAAATAAAATAAACAACACAGAGAAAAATTTATTTACTCGAATTTTGTCAATTTTTTTTTGCATATATATATACAATTTTAATATTATTTTTTTTAAAGAAAAGAATTCTTAAAAACTTATATTTATCTATTTTGATACTCATCCATTTTGTATTAAGCGCCTTAAAAGTAAGCACGTGATGAATATTATGACTTCAGAATTAAAAAAATTCAACATCGGTGGAATTAAGTAAGAAAGAAACAATACTTTGCTGTTATAAAAACTGCAAGATACACGAAATTTTTTTCACAAACGAATCAGGCATGTTTATGTTGGTTGATGACTACCTACGCTCTAAAATTATGTGTTTTATGCAGAAGAACACTCTGCAAAGTACCTTTCACAATCATCAAAGGTTCTTAAAATTCAACACAAACGTAGAAATTTTAATGACACAAAGACCTTTTCTTTTCGTAAGTTACCATATTGTGCGAATGAACTATTGCTTTAGCGAGCAGTAATAATTGATTCGTCTAATAACAGCTAAAATTATGATTAGCAAATAACTTAGTCGGATCTTCACACCTACGTTCTGTCGTGGTTTCGGTTTTGGTAAATATATTGCTGGTGTTCTTAATGCATTTTCCTTAAATTCAATATGGTCTTTATATTGCTTTCTTTCACCTTTAGTAATAATTTAATGAAATTAATCAACAAAAATAATAATTCAAAAGATGAGTGGATGAATTTTCTAAATTGGACTTGGAGGTACAGTTCAGTAATTATCAGAGCATTGCTGAGCATTCTTAATAACAAAAAGTGATATTATCTGGAATTTTAAGTGCTACGACAAGTGAAAGTCATTCAGCATAATAATTTAAAATGATTTTATAAACGTTTACAATAACGCATTTATTTTAATAAACTCATTCATTTTTATAATAAAATTTATAATAGCATTTGTCATAACAGTTTAATTTTTTTCACTCAAAACTATTGAAGCTTTTAAGCATGACTAGGGAAAAAATTATACGCTTACTTAATTACTTAAAATTAATTATTATTAGCTTAGTTATGTTAAATTTATTCTTATTTAGGTAATTTTAAGTAATTAAATTCAATAATATTTTGGTTTTGCTGAATATAATCAATTATTTTCTTTCTTTTCCCATTTCGGTGCCGCGTGTTCTGTTGCTATGAGGATATGATGAAACAACTTGTATAAATGAAAGTGTTATTCATTTTAAAAAATTGAGTGTATTCATTTTATAAATTGTTCATTTATAAAATGGAGTGTACTCATTTTATAAAATGGAGTCAGAATTTTTCTCTAAAACACGTAAGGCAGGGCATGGGAAAATATTGAACTTTCAGATAGAGTTCTGCAACATTTGTAGTGAATGAGGACGTAATATTAAGAAGAGTTTCAAATTTTTTATGAAATATTGAATAAATGGATTCGACTTTTAACTGTAAGTATAAAAGTTTTACCTCATACGCTGTTGAAGCTTGCATTTCAAAAAACACTGGCAAAGTAAGATAAGCAGATATCACTATGCCAATGACATATGATATGTTTAGGTAAGCCATGTGAATTCCAAAATAGTACATTTCAGCTGGTGTTCCAACAATAGTTATGGCAGAGAGAAATGTTGCCATGATTGAAAACGATACTGGCAAGATTGGCATGTCTTTTCCAGCTAAGAGGAACTCTTCTGTAGTTTTCTGTTTACCACCACTGAACCGGAAATAGACGCCAATTCCTGCTGATATCAGAAGCATTATAGAAAACATCAGGTAATCCCATCCTCCGAGTATAGCCTTTTCTGCTTCCATCTTTTCTTTAAAAAATGTATCGCGATAAAAGACAGCAGAGCAGTGTTTATGGTTCTTTAGTCCTGAAAATATATTTACGTAATTAAGTTTATTAGGTATAAAATACTATTAATCAGAATTAGTTTAACAAGACAAATATAGGAAAACTGATTATATTGGCAAAAAGTGAGTGATTATTGCATTTAATACTTATATTAATGGTCGTATTAGATTATAAATAGTTTTCATACTGGTCGGGATTCATGTTCGCTGACCGAAAATAAAATGCTGGATGTTAAAGTAAAAAAAGGAAAAATAATTCTTTTTTATATTTTTATTTTTATTTTTAATTTAAATTTTCTTTTCAAACGAAGAAAGCACTATTACACTGAACATAATTTGCAAAATACTATTTTGAATTTATACCGAAAGTATATTGACTTAGAAAGTGAACAGTATTAACTATTATATTATAATATATATATATATATATATATATGTATATATATATATAT